TTTACAGTTACTGTGAGGATTAAATGAGTTAATACAAGGAAAACGCCTACCTGAGTGCCAGATACACTGTTAGCATTCACCAAGTGTTCGCTGTTCTCATTGGAATGATCAGGCTTACGTCCATCCAGTTGTTAAGTCTCACAGATTTCACTCAGTAATTCATTCTCAAATCGATCCCCCTTCATCATTTCTTCCCTGGCCTCACGTGCTGCACCACTGTTTGGATATAACACTGGCCACAGCCTCCTGTTCTGGCTCCAGGGTTGTCCCTCACCTCTAGCCTTGGAGCATGGAGGACCCCTACCATGGCAAAACCCGCCTCCAGGATCAAGTTCAATTGCACATGGTGCCCTCCACGAGCTGGTCTCTCTGGGGACCTCTGGCCACCCTCCGCCCGCCCCACCTCACATACACACCAAAGTGGTCACTCCCACATGCCATGCAGTTTGCTCTGGCCACCTGTCCCCTCTGCAGAAAGGCCCCTTCCCCCTTCCCTTTGTCTCTCTCCGACGCTGATGCTGTCACACTCCCCTGAGGAGCTCCCCACAAAGGCCTCCCAGTTCCCGGTGAGCTGGAATCCCTAGCCGGCCTTTCTACATTACAGGGCCCTGTGATAGGCCTAGAGTCGCCTGAGTGTATCGCCCACGCTGAACTGAGACACAAGGATTACAAAACACATCTCCTATCTTGAAGTATGATGCCAGTGCAGGCCCTCGCACATTGTAGATGTTCGATGAAACGGTGACTGGGCCAGTGAAGGATTGGACTACCTAGCATTTTCTTAGCTCAGATGAGGGGGATCCAAAAAACTCCAGAAGTACCTTTCGGAGGGTGGGCCCCTTGTAGTACTGGCTATCCCCCTGCCCCAGCTAGGTGAGTGTTCTAGGACCCGTTGTGTACCAGCTAGCATGGTTGTGAGAGGTTGTGTTCAGCTTCAGTAAATTTTTTTTGGAGATTCTTTCAGCGTGTTTGCCCGGTTCATGATGGGTGATTTATGAGTGCACCCGCCCACTCCGTGCTGAGTATTCAACAGTCTTCAACCCAAACTGGCATGACCCCTGTGCTCCACCCTTCCTATTCACGTGATCTCACCTGGAGTAACCTTTTTTCCTGCTTCTCTGGATGAAAAAAGTCCTCAGAGGGAAACGTTGTGCCAGTATGAAGAGGCAAAACAGAAAATGGCAGCAGCACTCAAAGGCAACAAAATGGACGGGCTCAAAAACGACTTTGAGCAGTGGAAAAAGCGGTTCGATAGGTGTACTGCATCCAACAGGGAGTCCTTTGAAGGTGACGAAGTGTGGAATATACAATTTTTTAATAAATAAATTCCAGATTTTTGGGGGTCCCCCCTCGTATACAGAAATTCCCTCAGGTTTCCAAACAGCTTAGGTTCTTTACACCATGTTGCTTAGGGAAGATGAGAGGGGGTTGTCTAGGAACACGGAAGCCTTGACAAGACTCTTCGTATTTCGAAGGAGGACAGTAAGAGCACGTGAGAGAAAGCACAGGGTCACGCTGCCTTCCACTTGAAGCCTCCGCACTGTGGCAGGGAGCACTTCACCAACAGCCACAGCCGTGGCACTGGCAATGTCACACTTTTCCAGTGGAATTATTCCTTTCCTGACACCAGAGTTTCCAACACTGAAACCTTTGATCTGTTAAGAATTTCGGAGACATCCCATAGTGGGAATGTAAGATAATCAACTTTAGGGGAATTTTTTAAAAAGAGCTTAATGACTGAACTTTAAATACAATTCTCTGATGCCTGGGTTACACCCTAGATCTTCTGACTTAATTGGTCTGGGATGGGGCACAAGCAAAAAAAAATTTTTTTTAAGATCAAATAATTCTAAGGAATACCAGATAATCCTAAAGATCCCAGTGAGGGTTGAGATCCACTCTTAGGAAATCTCAGTTCCTTGTTTTTCAGTTTCCCATCTGTAAAATGGTGGCAGTTATGCTTACATTTATGGGTAACTGAAAATCCTTCTGAAAGTAAAATGCATAAATAAGTATTCGGTGGATTCCTTTTTTCCTATTATTCAATGCCTTGGGTCACCTCAAAAGCAAAGTTTGGCATATTAAACCTACCTGGTCAATATGCTTAATATCCATATTAGACATAGACATTTAAGATCTATTAAAGGGCAATTTAGAAGGTACAGTGTTTCACACCTATGAGTGACCTCAACACTTTGGGAGGCCAAAGTGGGGGGAATCACTTGAACCTAAGGAGTTTGAGACCACAACATAGCAATACTCCATATCTACAAAAAATTTTTTCAAAAAATAAGTTGGGTATGGTGGTGCTCACCTGCAGTCCTAGGCTGAGGCAGAAGGATCACCTGAGCCCAGGAATTTGAGGCTGTAGTAAGCTGTGATAGTGCCACTGCACTCCAGCCTGGGTAACAGAGACCCCCAACTCCAAAAAAAAAAAGAACAATTTTAAACACAGCAAATCCTCAAGCCATAATCTTAATAACCCACAATCAAGTGTATACTAAAATAAAGGTGTGATTCCAAATGATACTGAAAATAATCCTGAGTCCAAAGCATGATGCCGCAGACCCTGGGTGAAGAAACCGACTGGGCACTGTTTTTGTGCCTGCATTATAGTGAGGCCCGAGGGAAACTAGTTGGAGTGGCAATGACCACGAAAGTCTACTTTCAGGTTACACGGAGGGAGACAAAATTCAGTATAGAATCTTCTGAAAATGGAATGGAAGCAACCACACCCTGGAAATATCTATTTTTCTTCTCCAGAAACGTCCTATTGATGAATCTCTCTTCATCCTTTTAAGATAGAGTCTATCATTGATAATGTGATATCTGAATTTACATATCTTTCCCAGCTTTAAAGGCTGTCAGTTTTTTAAAATGTTATTTAAGACATAAACACCTGAAAGGGTTAACGTTTTAAAACCTTCAAGATCCTAGGTCTAGTTTAACTTCTCAAAGAAAAATATTAAATATTAAAAAAAAACCAAAAAAAACCCCACTATCCCAAAGTGTTTATTATGTCAGACAAAACTACCATGAAGAAGAGACTGATTAATGGCCAAGCACTTACAGCACTGACACGGAGTTACAGAGTAAAATCAGTCTCCACACCACCAAAGTCCTTACTAAACAGGTTTTTCATAAATATACTTTGACTCACTTGACCAATATTTCTTTATCTGTTATCATCATTTCATCACCTTTTATTAAAAAATAAGTTTGAAAGAGCAAAACTGTACGATGGCAAAATAATTCCAAATTAAAATTTCCTACTAACATAGAGAGCTACATTTTACAACGGAGAAAACTGAAATGATACCTATTACTACTGACAATGTCATGTTAGAATAAAGGAAATAAAGGCATGTCATTCTCAATATCGTCTTACTAGAGATTAATAAGCACATAACACAGAACTGTGAGACATACAGGGTAATGTGAGTGAGCACAGGCCACATCTCCATCAGAAGAGAATCTGCCTCAGAAGCAGCAGGGATGCACCATTTTTGCCATATGGAAAAAAAAAATGCACATAAACGACACAAACAAAATATACTTCTTACTTTTAGCATGTTAAAAACAAATCAAAAAACTTATACAGATAAAAAATGTCATAGGTGACATAAGAAAATAGTGCTTGTGTGTGTATATATATATTTGCATATATATATAAAAATCTACAGTATTTACCACTGTTGATATATATATATTTTGAAGCAGCTCAGATACTGCCATCATAAACTAAATTGTACAGCTTGGTTTATTACAAGTCACAGAATCATGGTTTAAAAATTGGAATTAATGTCCTCAGCTACACTTTTATGTACATTTCTCATGATCTAAATCAAGAGCCCAGTTATTTGATGAGGATTTCATTTGCGCTTCAGCTTTCACACTGCATTTGTTTTGCCGTTTAATAACATCACTACCCCACTGATTAAGATTACATTAGACTCATTATATACATAAAAAATATTGTCACATTCATGAGCTAAACAAATGTTTTTTTCATTTTAAAGACATACTTTGTACCTTAAAAGCCGAAAGCCCCAACTTGTAACAGGAAAAACTGTCAGTGTCAGGTTTTCTACTATTATTCAAATACGAGCAAAGTATCGTTGAAAACAAGCTCTCCAACTAAACACCAGGTCATACTTTCTGGGAGTGCCCAGCACTTTGCCAGTGTTTTCGCAACTGTAGTGTAATTGAATATTTTTAAAGACGTTCCTTTTTGCTTTTCAACCATGAACTGGAGTTTGTTACAATGAAAAAGAAAAGCAAGATTTCAAATGCACGAAACCATACCACATTGCTTAAAAGGGCCCAAACACCCCACCTCCCGTTAATAACCAGGAGCATCGCTCATGGCGCCGACGTTCACAACTCAACGGCCCGACTTCGTGCAACGCGCGGCGGCGCGTCTCCAACGAA